GTCCAGAAACATCACAGCAGGATTTGGTGTAATGGTCAGAAGCTAATTATATTTATGGAAAGATTTAGAATTAAAAACTGAGCTAACTGAACTTAATTTTGCAAATTCCGTCCAAATCAGTACATGAAATCACAGATAATTAGTACATTAATAATTAGAACTCAAGCATTGTTTGGAAAGCTAATCCCATCCAACAGTGCTTTGGATGGAAATGTCATTTTTTTGGACCAACTAAAATGTGTCCAACTTTACAAAAATGCTAATTTGACATGCATGATGGAACCTTAACAGTGCTTCAACCTGTCCTCCTCGACCACATCCACTGTGCAGAGTAAACAGTCACTCTGACGCTCTTCATTTCACACAGCTGCTTTGGATTTATGTGCTTTTCAACTTGCATTTAACCCATAGCAGGTGGCTCTAGGGCTAATCTTCCCTTGAATTATGAGGACACTAAATGCAACTTTTATTTCAATGAGTTTCCTCAAACAACTAATTAAACCCTCCGAAGAAGAAGAAGAAGAAACATTTCCCGTGCAGCAGAGTAGCCAAAGCAGGCAGGATTTTCTGCTCATTACAGTTTAAAACAGGTCTATTGTCTGGTGAGAGACATCTGCTGAGAACAGATTGGGACAAGAATTTTTCTGTGGCCTGCATTCCAATTTACAGGGATTTTTGCCTATTCACTGTGCCTGTATATGTGGGCTTAAGAGTTTGAGCTAGCACATGTGTAAATGACATGTGGGAGGGCTCAGATTAAAATCTGAAATGTGCAAAAGCTTAAAGAAAGAGGGGAAGGACTCGACCGGCTGATGTTGTCCCACCCCCTCCCCTTTGACCCCAACGCAAAAGTGCCCTGGAGGGGTGCTATGTTAACAGGACACTCACAGCATACCCGAATTAAGATGCCAATCCCAACACTTTGATCCGAGAGGATGCGAATACAAGCCCATCTGCTTGGCCGGACCCCCGACTGAGCAAATTTTCCCGTGGCTGCCATCGTACCAGCTTCTGTGCTTTTAATTTGAGCAATATGGGCCAATTATTAACATCCCGACCTCCCAGAACAGAGAAACGTAAACATCTAATGATGATAACCAGGCCTTGGGCTTGGCTGCATGGTTGCATTTTTCAGTATTTTCATTCTTTTGTTGGTGCCGATTGCGATTGGCAATTTTTTGCACGTAAAATCTCAACGCTGCAAAATATGCTGGAGTGGTTTGAGATGATGCTATGATTGGACATGCCACCATGTGGCCCTTAGTTGAAAAGCTAAGGATTCTAGAACTGCATCGACTCTCAGCATGAGGAATACAAACTCTTTACTCTTGACCTCTACTTCGGCACATACTAATGGGAGTGTTTGCTCACATTCTGCCTCCCTTTATCTCTGCTGAAGATTCGTATCAGCAACAGTCGTGGCCGTAGCGAGATCAAACGGTATCGCATGTGAAGACGAGTCCCAGATTTCTGCTGCGAGTGAAACAGCCCCAACTTCACTGTTAATAAACAACAAATGTTCGGCTCACCACGTTTCATGATAACCATTGGGTAAATTACAGGGCGAGACATTAAAAGAGCAGCTCGTTTCTGTTGTTCTGCTGTCTCTGTGGAGTTCTTCACAGCCGATGTCACACAAAGAGCTTTGAAAGACAGACAGGGTGAAACTGTGACATGAACAAAACACAGTAAGCTAATAATTCAGTGCAAGCACTTCAAGTTACTTAAAGGTGCTCTATGTAACTTTTCTACTAAAATGAATCCTTTTTTTATTGCCTGTGTGTGAAGCGGTTGTAATCACACACTAAAATGATCCACTTGTCGAGTTTTGCTATTACCTCTGAAGGCCAGTATTCCCATTTCTATGTGAAGTCTCCGGGTCAGATTTACCGCGAAATCCAACGATTGTGACGTGCATGCGCGCTCCCGAGCCTCTCTCCTTATATACAGTCTATTGTAGACGGTCAGGGAGTTACGTCCGGTTAAAGGTGCACATTTTTCGGCTTATATCTCAGTCAATCTTTGATCAATATTCCCAAGACTCTAATCGTTCGTAGTGCTGGACGGGGCCTTTCGAACGAGCCCACCCCCGAGGTCCAACTCGCCCGGCTCCCCGAGTTATAGCCGTTCGAAATCGGGGGTCCCAGCGAACGGCGATCCGGTAGGGGGCATCCCCGAGGCCCGCCACTCTAGCGTTCGGGCAAGGGTTCCCCTGGGACCTCCTCCCCCGAATTTGAGCTCTCTGGGTCTTTGCGTTCCAGAGATACGAGCGATTTTCTTCTGAGATCGTGACGTCACCGGCGTCCGCAATTTTGCAGCGCGCCCGATGGTTTTCTGCTAATATCTCCGCGAAAACACCACCAAAAACTATGGTACTTATATGGTTCTTTTCAGCTCGACTAGATGGTCCCAACGAGCTCGGTGCTCGCCGAATCCGTCAAGTATTCGCCGAGATATTTACGTAATAGACGGTATTGTCTATGAGTTCGAGCACGAGCGCTCTTGTAAAATTTGGTTGCAATCTGAAACATCACCACTAGAGGCCGCTAAAAGTTACGTAGAGCACCTTTAACATTATTAATTACGTTCATAATCAAATGATCATAACGTAAACTGCACATAATGTAATTATGTAATTACGTTCATAATCAGATGATCATAATGTAAACTGCACATAATGTAATTATGTAATTAAGTATTTCATTATTATTGTAATAAAATGTTCATAATATAATAATTTTCTCAAAACCTCAAATCTTGAGCTCATATTATAATACCAATTTTTACATTATGAGAAATGTATTACATTATAAACTCACCCAAAACATGCCATATTTTCAGAATTGTAAAAGCTTTTGAAACAAAAATATTAGTATTCTACTGCTAGTAGATTAAAGGTGAAGCAGTTCTAATTTCATTTATTTATTTATTTTACATCACAGAACCAAACAGGGGTGTGTGGACTTTTTATAACCACTGTACATGATTGTTAGTTGTACTGTATTTTTCAACATGCCCTCGGATGTATATTCAGGCTTTGTTTTGCTTTAACTTATATTAAAGAGAAGAAATGTTTGCTTAACTTATGCTCCGTGCTGCCGTTGGCTGAAGCAGAGAACGTGATCTATCACACACACACAGCTCATTGCTATATTGATACTGTGGGGTTTTCTTCACAACATGTTTACACAGTATTGGTATTTAACACTGTTTGTCATTTAACAGTATGCAACAGTATACAAGAAGTAGAAGTAGTAGAAGTAGTGGTAGTAGTAATAATAATAATGATACTAGTCTGGTGGATTTTGTTGGCAGGTTAAGACTGGATTTAGATTTTTTAAATGAACCAATCATTTATGTTTAATAAAAATATAAAGTATAAAAATAACAATTGCATGAATATTTAAATGTTACATTTCGCATGTGGTTTAAGACTGGATTTTTAAAAATGTATGAGAAATACTAATATTTTTATGTTTTAAAAGCTATTACAATTATGAAAATATGAAATGTTTTTGGTGAGTTTATAATGTAATACATTTCTCATAATGTAAAAATTGTTATTATATTATGAGCTCAAGATTTTATTATGTTTTTGAGAAAATTACTACGTTACGAACATTTTATTACAATAATAATGTAATAATTACCTATTATATTATGTGAATTGCTTTTAATGTTTAAATTAATCCTGTCTGTTTTTAGTGTTTCTTACTTCCTATGGTGTTTCTTCTGTCTTACGGTTTTCTGTAAAGTGTCTTTGAGTACTTAGAAAAGCGCTTACACAAATTAAATGTATTATTATTAAAAGTTTGGTGTCAGTAAACTTTTTTTAAATGAATAAAAAAAAAAGATTCAGCTAGAAATTTCCATTTCAAAAAACAAATATCTTTTTTCAACATTGATGATAATAAGAAATGTTTCTTGGGCACCAAATCAACATATTATAATGGTTTCTGAAAGATCATGTGACACTGAAGACTGGAGTAATGATGGTGAAAATTTTGTTTTACCATCACAGAAAAAAAGAAACATTATACAATACATTTAGAAAACAGTTTTTTTTTTTATAAATATATATATAATCTTTCACATTGTTTTTACTGAATTGTTGATCATATGGAGTGAGCACAAGAGACTTACAAAAACAAAAAATCTTACCAACCCTAAACTTTTGAATGGTGGTGTATTACAATTATAGTAAATAAATGAATCAATTCATTCCAATTTTAGCATTTAAATAACTTACTGGCCAAAAAGAACAATTCATGATTTAAAAGTCATATTTCAAGCAGGATTTTTCTAGTCGCAACACTTCGCTTTCTAGTATTCATTTAGCACAAAGACTTTGGAGCTGTGAAAGCACATAAAACCCTTTGCTCGAGAAACCCTTCTACCCACAGAACCATCCTGAAATCACACAAAGCGTTAACTTCCCCACCGTCTACCCTCTGGCATTAGTTTCAACCAATCGTTTCTCGCTGAAACAGTTGATAACGGCGACCAGATGCTCTATTATCAAAACCAATCATCAGAAGAACAGCTATATCGTTGCTGCTACCGAGGACGCCGATGTCGATGCTGCTGTGGTGCTATGGCAACGGCGGCTGCAGGACTGAGAGGTTTAACATCATTAAAAGAACAGAAGAACAACAGGAACGGGAAAGCTTGTGTGGGGGAAGAAGAGCTGGAAAACAAACAGAGAACGGAACCCAGGAGACCATCAAGACCGTGGACAACTCGAGATTCACTGATCTGGAAAAGTGACCTTCCTGCAAAAAAACACGACCCAACGATACACACACCCTGCCTGCTACACTAAACAAGTGTGTTAATGCAGACCTCCAAGGTGCCCTTTCTTCGTTCTCCCCACGTTGTCTAGCGGTAAATGGTCTCTCACTGATGCACCCCAGGCTTCACATCACATTTAGTGTGATCAATAAAGGAAGCCTGTCATTTAATCGATGGATTAATCAAGGGACTGAGGTGGTGGTACTCACTCTGAGGGCATTGCTCACTGGTACAGTTGAGGGACTGAAGATCCAGGCCCTGGCATTCCTTCCCACCGGTGCCAGGCGTAGGTTGGGTACATTCTCTACTCCTCCACATGCTGCAGTCGGCTCCGCATGGCGACCACTTACTCCATTCACTCCAACCGCCATCCACTGAACACACACATGCACACAGAAGACCGAATTAGCAATCCGTCACACATTATGGCAGAATGAATGTTTCTGTACTAAACTCAAACACTTCGTCAAAGCACAGCAGCAGCAGCAGCAGCAGCAGCACAAAGTCCTGTTGTACACACATAATGTGCAGTAACTAACTCACTACTCAAGAGGGTGATAGAGTCACCTTGATATTTAGGTATAGCTAGCTATAAATATCTCTAAATTAGCTTACTCACTTATCTCAGCAACACCCATTTGCTCTGTCATGCATGCACAAACTCCACATTCCTGCCCTATGCTCATGTCAATCACACACATACAGAGTTTTTGACATTGAGGTGTATTAAATAATGCGGCTTATGCAATACGAGTGCTGTTATACTGATGTATGCAACGCCTTTCTCCATGATACACAACTACATACAGATGCGCTGTCTCTGGAGCTGCAAGATTTTACATATGCACGCACATCAACCACCACATTTGAAAACACCATTCTTAGCTTTTTAGCTATGCATTTGAACACTTTTGTAGCATTTTATTTTTTCCCCTGAAGTCATAATTCTGTTTTACATGACCATTCTCTACCCTCTCTCTAATGATAGATGTCTTAAAGGTACAGTAGCAAGCAATTTAGTTTAATTATGGGATTAAACCGATTATTCTACTGCTGTGCCCTTAAGAATATACTGTACACTCCCGTTCACAAATTTGGGGTCAGTGAGATTTATTAATGTTGTGCTTACCAAGGATGCATTTATTTGTTTTAAATACAGTTACAGTAAAAACAGAATGTGAAATATGATTTCAAATTAAAATAACTTTTCTTATTTACTATATTTTAAAATGCAATTTATTCCTGTGATGGCAAAGCTGAATTATCAGCATCTCTCATGATCATCAATGATGAAAATAGTTGTGCTGCTTAATATTCTACTATATTAACATTATAAATGTCTTTACTGGCACTTTATCAATTGAATGCATCCTTCCTGAATCAAAAAGGTATTCATTTCTTTAAAAAGAAATCTTAATCTGGGTTGGCCAAGTTGCTGAATACTGAACGGTTGTATGTCAATGTGGGCAGCAATATAAACATTTTCTCATGCTTTGACTTCAAAACTATGCATAACACCTTAACTTAGCTTCCAGAAATGGCCTGGGTGGAATGAAAAATGAGCTTAGCATCCACAGTGTTGTATGTCTACAATAACTCGATTACAATTTCAAGTGTGAAAAGCCCATACAACGATAAAAGGCAGGTGGAAAATTCAGTATGTGTTTGTGCCTAGTGAAACAACACTCAAATGTCCTATTTCCTCCCAAGCCATGGAAGACGTATTTTATTTCCATTTCTCATTCTCACAGGGTTCTCACAGTTATTCGTCAGCTGGACCGGAGGCCATTTTGGAAGTCTTATTCGGGCTGAGGTTGTGCCAGGTTTGGGAAGGTTACTACAGGGCTAATGTGAGCAGCTCTGGTAATGAGCTCTCTAGGGACACTGAGCTGTGCCCTCACAGGACCAAGAGCAGGGGGTGAATTATGGTACTTGGATACAGTTGGATACAGATACAGAGTTACTGATGACTCCATTCGAAAGACCCAAGATCAGACACGCTGGGCTATTCATTCACCCCTGGCTTTATAGCATATTCACTGTGCAGTTTTGTTCTGCTAACCAGACCCTGGGTTACCGATTGTGATAAGAAAGATGAAAAGTCAGCCATCATAAATGGCTGTGAATAAAGACAATAGTCGTAGCCTGCCAGACGAGAGTGGGTTTTTCATATTTAAATATGCAGAGAGATTAGTAAGCAATGGCGAATGATATTCGTACTAACAAAGAACGTGTGGAGTGCATCTAAAAGAGATGCTGACAGCTTTTGATCAAACATTTGTCAGGGAGAGTGGCGAAGAAATAAAATAATTGTCCTTGTTTGCCATTGAGTGGCCTCATTTGTGAGCGAGACAGGCTTATATCATCACACTAGCCTGGCTGAACAGGGAATTAATGCTAATGAATACATTACAATAAGAATCGTGTTCCTGTCTCTGATTCTGTGCATGAATTTTAAAAGACAGGTGATGAGAGATCAACAGCTAAGTGGTGGAGAAAAGACTCTTTCTTCTCTCTGAAAAACTGCACAAAGCGACTGAGAGGAACTCTCTTGACTTATTTGAGAAAAAATGAATTGCAGATAAAACACTAGCAGCAATATAGACATTAGAGTCAACATGAAACCCCATTCTCAACCCATTTGACTTTGATAAAAAAAAAAAAAAGGATTCGTAAAAGATAAGTGGGACGTCATTTAATCCCTTGGGAATTGATTGGATAATGAAGAGTGGACATTCTGTACCATTTAAGTCTGTAGTCAATTGTGAAGGAATACTTCCACTTTTACGTTTGTGGCATCATTTCCTGTTTCACGATACTTTCAAAGTGAAATGTCCAGTGAGTGTCGCTAAAAATTTGTCCAGTTTTATCCTGGCAAAGTTTTATGTTGGTTGCTGTACAAATCTCAGCAGTTTGGAAATTAAATGTCTGGTGAGTGCCGCTAAAAAGTAATGCTCTATCATGTTTGAAAATAATGCAAAAAAAATTGCCTAAACCTAATCTATAGCAAATGTGAGAGAAAAACGCACTTGCTGAAGCAACTACGCCAATTTACGTAGCTTGCTTCTACAAGTCTTTGATCTTTTTTATCATGATTCGCGTTTCACTGGGCTACTCGATACCCGATCGCTCCGCATTGAGAGTATTAGCAGTGTTGGGGGTAACTCATTACAAGTAACTTGAGTTATGTAATCAGATTACTTTTTCAAGTAACTAGGAAAGTAACGCATGTTTTGTTTTCCCATTTATTGACTGACAGCTCTCTTGTCCCCATGTTGAGACAAATGGAAGTGCAAAGGCTTTGTGTGTGTGTGTGTGTGTGTGTGTGTAAACATGATGGTTATTGTAGTTCTAGACTAAACGTGAGCGTGCATTTACTCATCTCACTTAAACAAAAAAAAAGATTCAAAATTCCTCAAAATGAATAAAATCAGTGAAATGCAGAATCAGAATACTATGCAAACCTCCAATAACTAAATATGTTAAATAAAACAAATTGTTTTGCATTTTATCTCACTTCATTGACCAATGTTGCTACTGACCTTCGATGATTCAGTTAAACCATAAGCAGAAATGGCTATAGATATTTTTCTTTTTGTTGGTAAAGTAAGTGTTAAACTTTTCTCTCCTGCATCCTCTTCTTCTGTTATCCAGAATAACAGCAGCTGACAGCAGCAGTATGTTTGAGCGGCGCCCTCTACTGTACAAGAGTGCATCTGCATTCCCTTCTTATTATTTCACTTTTGGTGTGAATGGGTCTTTATATTTGCCCAAAAATATATAACTTTTTTGTTATAAAAAAAAAACAAGTCCAGCCCAGGTGGAAAAAAGTAATGCAAAAGTAACGTAACGCATTACTTTTCTAAAAAAAGTAACGCAATAAGTTACTTTTTAAGGGAGTAACGCAATATTGTAATGCATTACTTTTCAAAGTAACTTTCCCCAACACTGGTTGTACCAGTTGAGCTATAGACAATTTACTACATCAGAAGAGCCATACACATGGAGCTGCTTATGTGATACAAAAGTCAAAATGGATACGTTTTGGAAAAAGTATTTTGAGGTCATAACTAATTGCCCAAGGAACCATGCAGGAATAAAAGTTTGTTTGTAAAAGTTGTTTTACTGTCTCAAGTGTTCATTTCAGCAGGAAACTTAAGTCAATTCCATGTATATGTACTTTTGCAAAAATGTAGCTAGAGGCACGCTTTTCCAACGAGCCTGGGTTTCTTTTAGGAGTACTTCTGATCAAACATTTGGCAGGGAGAGTGGCGTTGAAGCTAAAGGTCAAAGTTCGCCTTTGAACATCTCAATCAAATATCTCATCATTTGCTATTGTTGCAGTGAACTTTATTGCATCGAATTGTATTAAATGGTCTTTCACTTTTGGGTAAACTAACCCTTTAAATTGTTGTGTAGACCTACAACAGTAGTCTTAAACAATGCTTAAACAGCTTTTTGGAAAGTAGTTAACATTAACGAGCCTGCCATATCACATCAGCCTAAAATAAATAAATTTTAGAGGCACTGCAAGTTATTGATGACAAAAAAAAAAAAATCTTCGTAATAACATGCACCATTTGTGCAAAATAAGACAAGGAATGTTTATTAAGAAAGTAAATAGGGTCCATTTTGATTTCATGTCGACTTTAAACAAGTAATGAAGTGAGAGAAGCAGAAAAATAGACAGTGATGGCCAATTTCCCCTTCAAAATATGCAAAATTCATATCTTCAACCTGCTTAACATGAGTGAAGTATGCACTAATAAGGAACCGAAGCCAGACAAATAATTGTCCATTCCAGACTCCCTGCCATTAAGATATCATCTTTGATTTCCAATCATCCTGCTGTAGGGGTGAAGAGGTGTGTGTGTGTGTGTTGTGCCAGGGTGCCTGTAACACAATAACGCAGTGGCAGGTCTATTTGGACATCTTGTCAAGGGCACATCTAAAGGGCGTCAAACTGCTCTTTAAAAAGGCCCGCAGGAAGCCCCATTTCAACTCGCCGTTGCTCAAAATCACAATGGCCAATGCTGGACACCTCCAGCTGCCTCGTCCTTGAGCAGGGAGGAGGAACCGAGCGGGAGAGTCACACAATTACCTTTCAGATCAGCAGGGATGAGACCGAGTCAACAACACTCACATCTGTAATCTCACCTGGAACTAAACATTCCATGTTCAATAAAACTGAGACAACAAGATTACAGGTGATTCATGGGCTCTGAGCCAGAGTGGGCAGGGTCAGAATGATGTCGTCATAATCTGCTGCCTATCTTGGATTCAAGTGCATCATGCAACAAACACAAAACGAATTTATGTCTTTGAATACAGGGTTCTAAAAGGGTCTTGGAATTCAGAAAAGCATGTTATTCAG